GCAGCGGCGTGCAGAACTCACAGCCGAGCACAGAATCGCAGCACGCGGGGCCGGGGCTGCGGGACGGAGCGGGGGGGGCTCTGCGCACAGCTGAGTCCAGAACATCCCCACGGCTCGGCCCGGCTTCGGGTGACCCCAAGGCTGGGGGGCGGCTGGGGAGCAGCGACGGGAACGGGGAGGGGATGGCGATGGCGATGGGGACGGGGATGCGGCGCGGATGCTGCCCGGCAGGCAGCAGCGCAGCCCCCAGCCGGAGCCGCTCCCCGCTGGGTGCCCCGTCACGCACAGCCCCGCTCGCCCCGCGGATCAGCAGCGCCGTGGGACGGGGTCACCCCGCAGCCTCCCCTTCCCTCCCCCGTTGCCCCGCGTCCCCGCCGCCCCCACAGAGCTGAATGACAGCCGTGCTGGGGGCCAATCGATGGCCGCCCCCCCCCCCCCAGCACTGCGCCCTCCCGCTCGCTGCGCCGCCCCCCCTCCCCAAGACACCGCTGCCGCGTTCCCCTGAACTTTTCTTTTTAATTAACCTCGCGGCGGCGCGGCCCGGCTGCCTCGTCGAGGTTAATGATATCACTGACCCGCGGCGTGGCGGCCCCCAGCGACCCCCTCCGCCGCCACGCGTCCCCCTCCCGCACCCCGCAGGACGCTTCCCCTCCCCGGGACGTTTCTCCCCGCTGCCTCCACCCGGGGGGGGGCCTCCCCCGCATCGCCCTCCGGCCGCGCCCCGCTCCTCTCCGGCTCCGCAGCTCGGGGCAGCGCCGCGGTGCGCGTGGGGTTGCGGGGTACAGGGAATGCCGCGGGGCGAAGGCGGTGCTCTGCGGTTGGGGGGGGGGGTGGCTGAGCGGATGGGGCTACGGGGGGCGCGTGGCTGCACCTCCCGACCCCGTCCCCGCGAACGAGCCCATCCTCCCGCTGCTGTGCCGCGGCCGTGGAGGAGCGGGGGTTGGGTCCCGGCCGCAGTGCCCCCTCCCACAGCACCGTCACGGCGCTGGGAGCGGTCCCAGAACCGGAGGGACCCGACGGAGGTGGCACCTGCGCGTGGCCCCGGGGACAGCAGGGCGGGGGGCGGGCGGTGATGCGGGCAGAAACCCCCAAACCCCGCCGTGCTCGCGACTTTCGCGGCAACCGCAGGACACCCCGTCCACGCCCGTGAGCGGCGCTCCGAAGTGACCCCGCGGCCTGCGGGGCCCGAACCGCGCACCGCGTCCCGCAGGGAAGAGGGAGCCCCGCACCTCGCTGAGCACCGACGCGGCGCCCGTTCTCCGGCCCTGGAGACGCGCCCGGATCCCCCGCGGCCGCCGGCCCCCCTCCCACGTGCAGCCCGGGACCCCCCCTCCCGCCCCGCCGCGGATCGCCCCCTGCCCTCACCCCGCACTCCCTTATCTCGGGCGGCGCGGGGCTGTCAGCGCCTCAGACGGAGCGTTTCCTCATCGCGTCCCCCCGCGCGGCCCTAATTGGATCCGCATGGCCGCGGGTCGCGGCTCCCAACCCCGCAGCCCTCGGGGGGACCCCGGCTCCCCAGTCGAGGCTGCCGCAGCGCGGGGACGCCCCGGGCCGAAGCTGGGAGCCCCACGGAGCCCCTCTGCCTCCGCCCTCCATCCCACGGTGGGGCTGGAGGTGACACCAGGCCCCACAGCCGGACGGGGATCCCGTGTCGGGGGGCCGCGCTCCGTGCGTGGGGGCCCGGGCCGCTCCCCACGGTTTCCCCCCGCAGTTCCACCCGAGCCTCGCGGAGGGGCCAGGCCCGAGTCCGTCCTTTCATCCCCGGTGCCCTTCTCCCATCCCGCCCCACTGGGCACGGCCGCACCGCCCTGGGAAAGGGGACGGGGCCGTTCCCGGTAGCCGTGCGCTGACCCGGGGCCAGCGGGGCGCGGGGGCAGCGCGGGGGGAGCGCGGCGTTTGCTCACAGCCGGAGGCTTTGAAATGCAACCCCCCCCCCCCCGGCCCATTTGGCGGGAGTTTGGCCCGGGCCCATATGGAGGCCCCAGCGGCGGGGGGGGCTCAGGGGGAGGGCGGCAGCTGTGGCCGAGGGCCGGCGGCTCGCCCTGACCCCACGGCACCGGGCCGGGGCCCCAAACGGAGCCGTAGGCGCGTCCAGCTCCGTGCGCGCGTGCCCGCGCTGTGCACCTGCGGCCGAACCTCGTGCGGGAGCCCCCCGCACAGACCCCGCACTCACGCCCCGCGTTCGGCCCAACGGCCCTTTGCCCGCTCCTGCTCGCCCCCCTCCTTCTTTCCCCCCCCGAGCTCTCCGCTTAATTAAGCCGCAGGGCCGCGCGGCGAGGTCAGAGCGTTAATGAATCCATCATTAGCCGACACCCGGACGGGGATCCCCGCGGACCCCCCGCGCGCATCAGCGCACCGCTCCGGGGGGGGAACCCGCGGCCGCACCGCGTTTATTGCCGGTAATTGTCGGGTCTCCCCCCCCCGCCCTGCACCGCGCACGGCCCCGGCGCTCCCCCGACACCGCCCCGCGCGCCCCCGCCGCTGACAGTTTAATTTCGCACCGCGCCGTTCCCCTTATTAAAGGGAAATTCATTTGCAAGCAATTTCCATGTGCGAAGCGCCGCGCGCTCGGAGCCGCGGGGGGGGGGGGGCCGTAATTGAATCAGAGCCGCGCGGTTCGTCACGGCCCCGCACCGCGGAGATGGAGCCGCTGAATAATGGATCGGGGGCGGCGCGGGGCTCCGCGTAACCGAGTTAGAGGGGCCGCGCCGCCCCCCGGCCCTAATCGCGTTACCGCGGCACGGGGAGCAGCGCCGCGCGGGCACCGGGTGTGGGGCGGGACTGCTGAGGGATGGGGGCCGAGGGGGGATGGGGGGCGCGAGCGAGGCAGGGGGCGCACGCGTGGTCACGCACCCCGTGTGTGTGCGCGCACACCCTGACACACGCACAGCGCTCGTGCTGCGGAGCCGCGCGGGGCTGCGTGGGGCTCAGCTCCGGCCGACCGGGCCGCGCTGGGGGAGCCCACGGGATCGATGGGGCGCCGCGGTTCCACCCCGCTGACCGCCGTACCGACACGGGCGCTGTTGGTTCCGTACCGGGGCTCACCCCGCAGGCCCGCCTCTGTGGACCCCCGTGCCGTGGGGCCGCCGTCGGGCGCGGCGCTGGGCGGGACGCCGATCCGAGCCCCTTTGTGTCTCCCATCCCGCGTCCCGCTTTGGGGTGAGGGGCGCTTCCATCCCGTTCCCTGAAGCGGGGACCGACGTTTCGCAACGGCGCCCACCCGCTGCCCGCCTGGGGCTCTGCTGTGCCCCCTCCCGCTGCCGGGCCCTGTGCCCTTGTCCCGTTCCCCCCGGCCTCACGGGGCCTTATGGAGCATATGGAGCTGCCGGGGGGGGGGATTTGGGGTCGCGGGGCCGCAGCAGCGAACCCGAGCGGCAATTCCCGGTGCGTGTCACGGGACATCGGGTGGGACGGGGCGCGGCGCGTGGATCGGGGCCGTCCTGCGGGCCCGAATGCGGGGCCAGGAGGGCGCGAGCGGGGTGGTGCGCGGGGTCCCCGGCGGGACCCATGCATGGACACACGGCGGCGGTGGGCGCACGGTGTGGTTTGGGGAAGGGGGGGACGCGAGGCTCTCCCGTCCGAGCCGCGCGGGGTCTGCCCCGGAGCGACGTCCAAACCCCTCCGACATCGGTTCCATGTCGCGCCGAGGGCCGCTGCTCCCCCCCCACCCCCCCCCCCCCCCAGGCTTTCATGGCTCCGGCTGCTGGGAAATTTCAAGGTTGGATTTGTCCAACTCCGATTTCCAGCCGCGGGATCGCGTTCTGCCTTTGTCAGCAACATCGGCTGCACCCCCCAGCCCCCGCTCCCCCTCCCCGCGGCTCCCCCCCAACAGCACCGACACACGCGGGTCCCCCTGCACCTGCTCCCCCCGATCCCTGCCCGCAGGTTCACTTTCTGTCATCGCCGCGGTCACCCCCGCCCCGCTGCCGGTGACCCCCCCGCCCCTTCCCCACGTGCGGGGCACGGCGCGGTGTGACTCCCCGCAAAGACCCCCAGAGACGTTGGGTGCGGTGCCACAGCCCGACCCCGCTCAGCCCCGCGCCGCTGCAGATCTCTCCCCCTACCCCGCCGGAACGTCCCCCTTCCGACCCGCCGCGCCGCCCCGCGCTTCGGGGACCCCCCCGCGCCCTTTCCCTTCCCTTTTCCCCGCGGACCCCACAGCACGTAACCCCCCCGCCCCACCCCCCGCCGTCCCCGGGGACGCGCCGTGAGGACGTGGCGGGATGGGGCCGAGAGCTGCGGGACCCTCCGGGGGACGCGGCGGCCCCGGTCCCGATGGTGGGATGCGGTGCGGGCGCCGGCGCCGGCGCGGGGCTCACCTGCGTGTGCGGCCGTCCCCGCGCCTTTACGAGCGGTCGGGATCGCGGCGCGATTTGTACCGCGGGTTTACGGTCGGGCCGCGCTCTGAAACCCAAAACCCGGAGCGGCCCTAATCACTGCCAGACGCGGCGGCCCCGCGCTTTTATGGGCGGGTTGGAGCAGGGGAGATAATAAATTTCTGCGACGGCAAAACCCCGCCGGGCCGGGCGCGGAGGAGGGGGGGCAGCGGGGGGCGAGGAGCCCTTAACCCCGGGACGCGGGGAGGAGGCGCGGTGCTGCGTCCCGGTGCGGGAGTCCCGACCCCCCCACAGCCGCCCCCTCCCGGGGCCGGAGCGGAGCGGATCCCCCCCCCCCCCCCCCCGGTACCTCCGCCCCCGCGGCTCCTCCCCCCGCCGGCGCCCCGTTATCCGCCCCGGCCCCGCGCCTTTAAGGCCGCCGCACCGGAGCTCCGCGCCCGCTCTCGGCGCCGCGAGGCCGAGCGCTCCGCCGCCGCCGCCGGGCCCCCGCCGAGGGGGCGGGCAGCCACCGGGCCTTTAAGCTCGGCCGCGGCCGTCGCGGGGCCGCCGATGCTCGGGAGGGGACAGCGGCGGCGAGGGGCGATCCGCCGCCGCCCCCCGGCAGCATGAGGCGGGCGCGCCGCTGAGCGGCCCCGGCAGCACCGGGCGGCCCCGGGCCGCGCCATGACCTCGGCGCGGGAGGCGGCCGCGACCCCCCCGCTGCCCGAGGAGCGCCGCCGGGCCGCGCTGGAGCAGCTGCCGCCGCCCGCGCACTGCAACAAACCGCTGACGCCGTTCGGCATCGAGGACATCCTCGCGCGGCCCTCCCCCCCCGCGCACGGCGCTCCCCCGGCCCGGATCCCGGAGAAGGCGGCGGGACCCGCACCGCCCCGCACCGCCCCGTCCTCGCCGCTGTGCGCGCTGGAGGAGCTCGCCAGTAAGACGTTCCGCGGGCTGGAGCTGAGCGCGCTGCGGGCGGCCGAAGGTACGGGCGGGGCGCGGGGCAGGTGCGCGCCGGCGGGCGGGGGGCGGCGGCGGGGCGCGGGGCGCGGAGCCGGGGCTCTTTGCTGTCCTCCCGGCGCCGGTAAGTCGGGGTCGGGCCGCCCCGGGACGGGCGCGGACGGAGCGCCGTGACCGGGAGCCGCGCGGAGAGAGCCGCCGCCGGGCCGAGTCTCGCCGCCCGCGGTACCGAGAGAACCGGATCGTATCCCCGGTGGCCCCGGAGCTCCGCCGAAGGCGGCGGCCCCGCGGCCGCCGCGGATCCGTTACCGAGCGCGGGGCGGAGCGGCCTCGGATGGCTCCGTCTGTAACCAAATCGCTCAACGAAAGCCGCCGCCGCGCCGCGGTTCTCCCGGAGCCCGGGCTGGAATTGCGTTCCCCGCTTCGGGACGGGCCCAGCCGCCGGGCCCCGCCGCGATCCGCGCTGCTACCGCAGAAATCCCGTTTGCGCGGCTCTCGGTATCGCCCGGAACGGCCCCGCGGCGGCTCCGCACAGCCCTGGCCCGGTCGCGGCTCCTCCGAACGCTCCGGGCGGCTCCGGGCGCCGCGGCACCGACCGACCGCTGCCAGGACCGAACCGGCACGGGACGCGGCGCCGTTCTACGCTGAACGGAAAATCGCTGCGGACGGGCGATGAACGCAGACCGGCGCCCGGAGAGCCGCGGACGGACGGACCGCTCGAGATTCCCGAACGAACGCGGAACTCCCGCAGCCGGGAGGACGCGCGGACGGAGCCCGGAGCGATCGCTGCGATCGCGATTAACGAAAAGTGCCGTTAATGAAGGGAGTCGCGGACGCGGAAGGACGGATCGGAGCTCTCGGGATTAGCGGAGGAAGCCGCACACGGATCGGGACAGCGGCAATTAGCGAAAATGAAAGGATCGTTATGCGGACAGAGGCCGCGGGTGGTGCAAAAAAAACCGACAGGGACGGACACGGACAGAACCGAGAGCGCCTCGAGCTCCTCTCAGCCACGAACGAATTCTGCTCGGGCGGACACACGGACGGAGCCGTTCCGGACGGCCTCGGCTCGGCGCTGAGGGGATCGGCGGGACAGCAGGAGGGCGCCGGAGCCGCTGGGAGCCGTGGGCCGAGCACGGCGCACCGAAGCTCTGCCGGGTCGGGGCTCGGAGCTCCGCCGCAGCCGGGAGCGGCGACAGCACGGAACAGAGCGGCGGTACCCGGAGCGCTCGGGACGCGGAGCTCCGAACGGTCGCAGGAGCGGAACCCGAGGGCAGCCCCGGCACCGCGCTGAGCCCGGCCCGCAGCGGGCGGCCCCGCGGGAGGAACCGGAGCGGAGCCAGCGGGCAGCGCCGGAGCTGTGCGGGGCGGTGGGAGGCGGCGGCCGGGGCCGATGTGCGGCGGAGCGGAGCGCCGTGCGGTGCAACGAGCGGGGCCACGGCCGGGACCGGACCGAGCACGGCACGGCACGGCGATGTAGCGCTCGGCACAGCGCGGCTCGGCAACGCTCCTCTCAGCGGTATAACGCTCGGCCCGGCCCGGATCACAACACGATGCTCGGCTCGGCAATACAAAGCTCGGCCCGGCCCGTGTCAGCACTGCGAGGCCCAGCACGGCCTGGCTCCGCTCGGAAATGCAGCGCTCAGCACGGCTTTGCCTGGCGCGGCTCGGCGCAGCAAATGAACGCTGCGCACAGCACGGTTCGGGCCGGCAATGCCAGGCACAGCTCGGCTCAGCGCAAACAATGCTCGGCACGGCTCGGCTCGGCACGGCGATATAAAGCGGGCCGGGCTCGGCGGTGTAACGCTTGGCAATTGTGATTCGGCTCGGCTCGGCGGTATAACGCGCGCCATGACGGCCCGTTTCGGCGGAGCATTGCTGCGCTGGGCTCCCTGCTGTAACGCTCGGCACGATTCGGCTCGGCTCAGCAGCGCGACGCTCGGCCCGGCCCCGTTTGCTTCGCGCTGCCGAGTCGGGCCCGGTCTCGTTCCGCTCCGCTAAGCTCTGCCCGGCGGGGCTCAGCGGGCCGAGCCCGGTTTCGGTCCGATTTCGGTGCCGGTTCTGCCGCTCTGACGCCGTCTCCTCCTCCCCCCCCCGCAGGTCGGGACCCTCTGAGCGCCCTCGCGCAGCGCCCGACGTCGAAGAAGCGGCGCAAATCGCGCACGGCGTTCAGCAACCAGCAGCTCTTCGAGTTGGAGCGCCGCTTCGTGCGCCAGAAATATTTGTCCCCCGCCGACCGCGACCAACTGGCGCAGCGCCTGGCGCTCAGCTCCGCGCAGGTCATCACCTGGTTCCAGAACCGCCGCGCTAAGCTCAAGCGCGACCTGGACGAGATGCGCGCCGACGTGGCCTCCCTGCAGGCGCTGCGGCTGCGGGAACCCCCCCCGGCCCCCCCCGGCCCCGCCGAGCTGTCCGAGGAGGAGATCGACGTGGGGGCCTGAAGGGGAGGGAGGCCGGGGGGGGGTCGGTGCGGTGCTCCCGTCCTCTTTGTTTCCGCTTTATTTCTGTTTTCTTGTAATTTTATTTCCCCCCCGCACCTCCACCCTCCTCCCCCCCCCCCGCGTCCGTCCGTCCGTCCGTCGGCCGCCGCCGGGCCCCGGTCCGCCCCGTGTATATATGTGGAATAAAGGGGACATCTCCTAAACGGGGAGCGGGGGCGCGGCGGGGGGACGTGGGGACACAGGGATGGGGATGGGGGGACACGGGAACGGCAGAGGGTGACAAAGGGACACGGGTACGGACACCGGGACACACAGACATGGGGACACATGGAGAGGGGGATACGAGGACACGGGGATGGGGGAACACGAAGAGGGGGGAACGGGGACACAGGGACACGGGGACAGACAGACACGGGAGCACAAAGACATGGGGACACACGGATGCGCAGAGACACGAGAGCACGGGGACACGCAGGCGCTGGGACAGACGGATGTGGGGACACAGAGACGGGGATGGGGGGAACACAGGGGCACGGGGACAGAAGGAGGGGGTGACCGAGGGACACACGGACAGACAGACACGGCTCCACGCGTCTGTCGGTGTCCGTCTGTCCGTCCCCTCACGCGGGACTCCGCGCACCCCGACAGCCGCCCGTGACGTCATGCTGCGGTGACGTCACACCTCTCGGTCCCCGCCCCGCTCCCCCCCCTTCTCCCCCCGCCTCTCCGGGGGGTGACCCGCAGCTGCCGCCCCCTCAGCGCTCCCCGGGGCCGTCTGTCACCGCCCGCCGGTGCCCCCCCGCAGCCACCCGAAGCCGCCCGATCCAATTACAGCGCCGCCGACTTCCGCGCGGGGCCGCTCCGCCGTCATCGCTCCGTTCTTAATTGCATTGTCCCTCCCTTCCCCCAGCGCTGCGGCAGAGGGGGAGGGGGGGAAAAAAATGAGATTTAGCCCTGAAAGTGCCTTTGAGCGTTTCCCCGCGGGGAATCGCGTTTAATTTGACAGGTAGGAGCGCGCGAGGGGGGCTGCGGGGGGCGCGGGGGCTGCGGCTGCGATCCTGCAGCGCCGGGAAGGAATCCGGCCCCGGGGTGGGGGGGGGGTGGGCCGGGGCTCCCCGAGTGCCGATACGGGGCCGGATCCTCTGCCCTCCCCCAGGCGGGGTCGCGGGGGGGGTCGTACACGCAGTTGCGGGTTTGCACGCGGCTCACAAGAGCCGCGGTTCCCGCAGCCGTGATCCCGCAGGGCGGCGCGGAGCCCCCGGGGCGCCCCGGCCACAACCGTCCGTTCCACGACGGGTGAGCAAAGCGGAAGGGCCGCCATCCCCCTCCCGCCCCCCCCCGGCTCCCCCTCGCCCCGCAGCCGACGGCTCACGTCGGCCCCACGAGCGCCCGACTGTCGCGCAGCCGAAGCGAAGACGCGGAGCGGATAACGAGGAGGGGGGGTTGTTGGCCGTCCCCGCAGCCCCCCGGCCCTCGGGGCCCCCCGCCCCTCCCCCGGCAGGAGGCCGCGCTGGGTGACGCGCAGCTCGGCCCGTGGGTCTTCTCTCCATCCCCGCAGCGGGAACCGAGCCCGGCCCCCCGGCTCCTCCATCCCCTATCAGTACCGGGCAGCTGCGGTGCCCCCAGCCGCGGCCCCCAGCCCATCCCAGCCCCGTCCCGGGGTGCAGCTGATCGCGGTGGGAGCGGCTGCGGGGCCGGGCGGCGCGCAGCTCCCACCCCTCGGGCACGGTGCTTCCCAGCGCCGCACACAGGGGCTCAGCCCGGGGACAGCCGGGGCTGTGGGACCCCGCATCGGGCACGGAGCCCCGAACTGCGGCCGTGCCATGCGGTGCCATGCTGTGCCATGCGGTGCCGTGCCATGCCGTGCCATGCAGTGCCATGCGGTGCCATGCAGTGCCATGCCGTGCCATGCAGTGCCATGCCGTGCCATGCAGTGCCATGCGGTGCCATGCTGTGCCATGCGGTGCCGTGCCATGCCGTGCCATGCGGTGCCATGCAGTGCCATGCAGTGCCATGCAGTGCCATGCCGTGCCATGCAGTGCCATGCAGTGCCATGCCGTGCCATGCAGTGCCATGCCGTGCCATGCAGTGCCATGCCGTGCCATGCCGTGCCATGCGGTGCCATGCGGTGCCATGCGGTGCCATGCGGTGCCATGCGGTGCCATGCCGTGCCATGCCGTGCCATGCGGTGCCATGCAGTGCCATGCCGTGCCATGCGGTGCCATGCAGTGCCATGCCGTGCCATGCGGTGCCATGCGGTGCCATGCCGTGCCATGCAGTGCCATGCTGTGCCATGCCGTGCCATGCAGTGCCATGCAGTGCCATGCTGTGCCATGCAGTGCCATGCCGTGCCATGCAGTGCCATGCAGTGCCACGCAGTGCGTGCCGTGCCGTGCCATGCGGTGCCATGCAGTGCCATGCAGTGCCATGCAGTGCCATGCTGTGCCATGCGGTGCCATGCGGTGCCATGCGGTGCCATGCAGTGCCATGCAGTGCCATGCTGTGCCATGCCGTGCCATGCAGTGCCATGCCGTGCCATGCCGTGCCATGCAGTGCCATGCCGTGCCATGCCGTGCCATGCAGTGCCATGCCGTGCCATGCAGTGCCATGCCGTGCCATGCAGTGCCATGCCGTGCCATGCAGTGCCATGCAGTGCCGTGCCGTGCTGCTGGCCAGCGGCCCCGTCAGCCTCAGCCCTGTCTCCCCTTCTCCCCACGCACTCTCATCTCTTTCCTCTTCCAATTTTCTGCATGATTAACTCCACCGCTGCTTCCTGACAACCTCTGCTGTTGGTATTAATTTCTTTTAACTAGTGATTAATTACTCGCTGTCTCCCGCGCTCCTTCTCCCCGCCGCCCATTTGCATATTAATCCAACCCCCCCCCGACGCGCTGCCCCGCGGTTCCCTCACCTACAAACGGCCCCTCACACTTCGCTCCGGAGCACCCACCGCCCCCACTCCCACGTTAGGGGACCCCCACTGCTGGGTGTCCCGGGGGGCACCGGGCACCCCAAGATGCCCTCCGTCCTGCCCCGGGGTTTCCCATCACAGGAAGGGCTCCAGGCCGAGGGAAAGAGCCACGCAAGGCCCCGTCGGCTCTCGCTTTTATTAAGAAACCCACGGCAGGTTCCCATCCCTGCAAGAAGGGCTCCGTGGGCACCGAGCCGCCCGGCACCGGCCTGTGGCACCGGGGCAGCGCAGCCGGGCTGCAGCCACGAGGCGCGGCCACACCGGGGGCACGAGGTAGGAGCGGCGGGGCGGCGAGATGAGGCCAGGCCGGCCGCTGCGGGGAGAAGGCACACGAGGCTGCGGCAGGAGCGCGGCTCCAAAGCCCGGCGTGCGGCCCCGAGCTCCCGCAGCGCCGCGGGCCGCTTTGTGCGTCGGGCAGCGCGCGGGGCGGCGCCCACCGGGGGTCCCGCTCTGCACCCCGCGAGATGAGGAAGGTTCCCCCACGGAGGGTCCTACGGGCGCTGCCGGGGCGGCGGCGTGGCGTGGGACGGGTGTTTGAGCTGCAGCGCCAGCCGGCAGCCCTCCAGCTCGGCGCCCTGCAGGGGGGGAACAGCCGTCAGCGCCGTGCGCCCGTCCCGCAGCACGGGGAGCGGCAGCCCCCGGCCCGGCGCTCACCAGCATGGCTCCGTACGCCGCTTCCGCCGCTGCCTTCTGGTGGAAGTTGATGAAGGCGCAGCGCTTCTCCGGGAGCAGCCGGATGGATTGGATCTGCCCGAACCTGCGTGGTGGGGCAGCTCAGCCAGCCGCCCCCGGCCGCCCCCCGCTGCAGGGAAGGGGAAACGGAGCAGAAGGCGGCCGGGCTGCACCGCGATGGAGGGGGGGTCGCTCCCCGGGAGCGCAGAGAACCGGAACCAGGCGCAGGGACGGTCAGAGACCGGGCAGCGGGGGGGGGGGGGGGTGCGGCGCCATCAGGTCCTACAGGGATGGGGACGGGGAGGATGGCGCTGCAGGGCACTCACCGGCCGAAGCAGCTCTGCAGCGCTTTCTTGGTGACCTTGAAAGTGATGTTTCCGACCCACAGAGGATAGCAGTCCCTGCCAAACGGCACTGTCACCGGCAGCCCAACCCCTGCCCCGCTCCTGCTGATCCCCGAGGGCGGCCCCCAGCAGCCCCTTGTCCCGTGCCAGAATCCCAGCCTTACCTGGCAGGGTGCTGGGAAGGCAGCGTGTGCCTGGGGCTCGCCGTGGCCGTGCTCCGCGCGTGGCTTTTCGAGTGGCTCCTCGAGTTCACCACGGTCACGAAGCCGCCCGTGTCCACATCGCTGCTGCCGCCGTTCTCACACTCATCTGCCGAGAAGCCCTCAGGGCTCAGCACCACCCCTCGCACCCTCCCAGCTCTGCCACGTTCACCCCAACCCCGGCAGCACAACGAAGGTCCCTTACCGGAGGTGGGTGTCAGCGGCTCCCCGGCTTCCAGCGCAGGGATTTCCCTGGGGCTGCCGGCATCGCGGAGGCTGCTCTGCTGCAGGGCAGAGGGGTCAGAGGCACAGGGCAGCAGTGGGGAGGCAGCGGCGGGGCCGGAGCTCACCTGCAGCAGCATCTGGCAGGCCTCCAGCCGGGCGGCTACGTCAGCCTGGGCGCCCTTGAGGTGCAGCAGCTGCTCAAAGGTGTCCCTGGCCTCGGCGTAGAGCTGGGAGCAGAGAGCGGCTGAGCCGCTGCCCGCGGGGACGCCGAGCCCTGCAGCCCTGCCTCCACGCTACCTTCAGCCCCCACAGCGCCTTGCCCTTGCGGAAGAAGCCTTTGGGCCAGCTGGGCTGCAGCTCCAGGGCCATCTGGGCATCCCTCAGCGCCTCCTGGTACTGCCGGAGCTTCTCGTAGCAGTACGACCGGTTCCCAAAGAGCCTGGGGGACAACGTGGGTCGGCAGCGCGGGCTCAGGGCGCTGCCCAGGCCCCCCCGCAGCCCACAGCTCACCGGTGCTCCCTGGGGTTCAGCTTTATGGCCTCGGTGAAGGCCTGCACAGCCTCTGCGTAGCGTCCCTGCACGGCAGCCTGGTAGCCGCAGCCTGCAGGGAGAGCATCGCCCGCTGCTGACCGGCACGCAGCAACGCAGCCGGGGAGCGCGGGGCTCTGCAGGGGGACGGTGCAGCTCTGCACTGCGCCCAGCTGCGTGGGAAAGGAGCTGTGGGGACAGGCAGGAGCCGTGCAGCCCCACAGATGGTGATAAG